CGGCCCTGTAGTGGATGGCAACTTTGTGCCACAACAGCCGGGCCAGCTCCTTGCTCAAGGGCGCTTCGATAAGGACGTCCGCGTCATGGTCGGCCACAATGCCAACGAAGGTACCTACTTCACGCCTCCATACATAAACACCACCGAGCGCATAGTAGAGCAACTGCAGAACACATTCGAAAATATGCCGTCCTCATCCATTGACTACATCGTCAACACCCTATATCCCCCGGTGTTCGACGGAACCTACCCCTACACGGACAACTACACGAGGGCCAGTCTCATGGTGTCTGAAGGTATATTCACTTGCAACACCAACTACTTGTCCACCGGATTCAACAACAAAACGTACTCGTACTTGTTCGCCGTCCCGCCTGCCTTCCACGGCCTCGATGTCGCCTTTACCTATTTCGACGGTGGAGCTACGGGCTTTATTCCGTTCACGGTGACGAATCGGACGGTCGCGGTGGCGCTGCAGGACTTTATTACGAGTTTTGCGGAGAACGGCGTGCCGGAGGCGGAGGGGATACGGCAGTTTAACATGTACGGGCCGGATGCGCGGGTTCTGGAGTTGAATGTTACGGGGATTGAGGAGGTACGGGATTCAAATGCTTCGAATCGCTGCAAGTGGTGGCAGCTGGCGCTGTACTCGTAGTTGCTGAGCCGAGGTTACGACAACGGTAATGAGGGCAAATGATGCATAGAGCGTCTTATAAGTTTATGTGTAATGAAGCGAAAACTGTTCACATGCAGAAAGTCGAAAAGCTTGCTGAAAGACATCTCCATGCGTGCGGGAGCTATGGCCAAGCGCTAGCCCCATTGAGATGCATCCTGTGATGATATACCTACGTCATATGAAGACTTCGCCGTGCACCCAATCGCGAAACACGGCCCTTTAAAGACCTCTCCGCCCGCAAAACTTTGTCGAATCCCCAAGTTCTCATCTCCCAATTGACTTTCAAATCCATCTGCCAACCCCTCAATCACCACCTTTCCACGACATCTTCAACCCATCCACCATGTTCCGCACCCAGATCGCCCGCCAGGCCCGCCTCTTCAGCACCTCACCCATCGTGAGGAAGAGCCCCGTCGAGACCGTCAAGGACGCCGCCAAGACCGTCGACAGGACAGTGTCGGACAAGATTGTGAAGGGCATCGAGAAGGGCGGTACGTGCTCAATTACACCTTTTGCCATTCCACGTTACTGAGCATTGGTACAGAGCAAGCCGCAAAGGTCGTCAAGGAGAAGACCCCCAACACCACTGGCGAGGCAAAGGGCCAGGCCAACCAGCTGGCCGGCGAAGCCAAGGGCAAAGCGTCGGAGCTTACGGGCGAGGCGAAGGGAAAGGCGCAAGAGCTCAAGGGCGAGGCCAAGGGCAAGGCAAACCAGATCTAAAATGATTGTGTGATTAGAGATGCGATGTGTCGGAGCTCGGAAAAGAACGGGATGAAGATGGGGTATACAGGCGCGGCCGGGGTTGACGACGGCTTGGGGTTTGATACTGCATAGTGGATAGCAGATGTCTTCCTGTACCAATACTTTCTCGCTTATAAACTGCATGAATAGCAATGGCTGATGTTTTTGTTGAAGACAATGGTGTTTCTCGTTTCTGTGGCTCGATTCGCTACTGGTGGTCAGCACAACGATATTCCCATCACGAACCTCTCACCATCACCCTCCTCCCACAACCCACCATCAGATTCTTATACCCCTCACCTCGATCTACCATGATATAGATTGAACGATAGCAATATTCCAAGGCCAGCACTCCCTGCAGCCATCCTCAAAGCGACAGCATCAGCGCCCACTCATATCATCCCCGATCCGCTCGCCACCGATTACTCCTTCAACCTCAACGCTTCCGTCGCGCAGACGCAGCCGGTGCAGCAGACACACCATGACACCGCAAATTTTAAACCAGAAAACTCGTCCGCCTTTCCTCACCCGAAGTATCAAGTTCTTCAGCAGACATGATAAATCTCTCGAAGCAACTGAAGCACACACGGGCATGTACCCCTCTCTCTATACTCATCAGCCTAGCGAGACCATTCACGTCCTGTTGTTTGAGGATGGCTGCAGGGAGTGCTGGCCTTGGAATATTGCTATCGTTCGATCGATATCATGGCAGATCGAGGTGAGGGGTATAAGAAGCTGATGGTGGTGTCCTATACCAAGCGCTATCGGATACCACCTGGTAGTCTCTCAACACAGTGTTGCTCGTATTTTGTTAGGATGGTGTGGGTGAGTGCGGGTGGCTGTATCTGACAGAACGGTTTCTGCGGTATTGTCTCTTGGGGTTAATCAGGATACACAATCCACTGCCCAATCTAGAGCCTGCTCGCCTCGATTCCTCGCACATACGCCTGTATACTGCTATTTGACTGATCGTCTATCAAGGCGAGAGGTCGCTCGCAGTAAAGGTATCTAGCACAATGCTGCCCAGTGCTGTCATCCCCTGCATATGCAACGCCCAGCTATTCGCACGGTCCCAACATTCAAACAGACCACAAAGTGGAAGATGAGCCCAGGCATAAGGATTGGGCTTCTAAATTCTTCGTACTTCAAAGGTGTGAGTGAAGAGCGCATGCTCAGCGGGCTATTAGGTGTCGTCAAAAGAAGATGCGTCTGGTGCGGTTTCTATTATGCGGAACAAATACCTACGCTTATCTCCATTCTTTTCTGCCGACAGTTTGAAGATCGTAAGCACCTTTCCCACTTCGTCATTGTTACTGAGGGTTGCGCGCTGCGGCGCCGTTTAGTCGAAGTTCGATACCGGAATGACCTTTCCCATCGCGCCCGGCATGGACCCATCTTCCTGGAGCCAATGACGTTTAGGTGCTGTAGCACAGAACTGCAAGGTGACCTAAGGTTTCGTACTCATCTCAATAGAGCGGCGGCGAACCCAATCCTTAAGTGCCTGGCCATACTTCCCAGATCGATCTCGGGTCTCCACATAAATGGGATCGCCATAGCATTTGATGTCTTAACCTTGCATACCAACCAGAAATTAGTTAAGTACAGGTGTTTTTTACGCCTTGACCACGCGGAATCCGGATGTGGGGCGTGTAGAAGAAGTTCCATCGCGGATGTCTTGGGGAGTACCTCCAGTGTTGCGAGCCTCCTCGATAGCGCTCCTCTCGGCGATGTTAGTGTTCAATTGAAGTTTGGCCAGGACAGAAGATGCGAGTTGAGGTGTGAGTGTAGAGGTTTGGAGAAGTGTTCGCGTTGGCGGCAGGACGCTCGCACACGCGCGTCTGTCCGAAAACGGAAGGAACGACCCTCAGCATGAAGGAGCGCCGATACCAAATCGACGTCTCCGCGGCTCCTGCTGTAGATAATGTATCCTGATTACCCTCAAGGGAGATTACTACTAAGGATGGCTGATCCCTTAGACGCGCTCGTCTGCCGTAAACTTCGAATGATCGATTGACTGATTGAATGATTCTCAACTCCTTCGCTCCCGCCCTATCCACCCTAACAGGTAAGGCAGCCACTGAGTTTCTTCGAAGTCCCTCTTTCGTCCCGTCCACTAAGGCACAGTGTTTTACCAAACCCAATCTCTTTGAACAATCGCCGGTCCTTTATAGGTATTACGGATCCTGATTATCCTCGCCACCCTCTACAAAGTTTGTTTGTTTATTTATGCCTTGAGTCAGCCTGGTTACACTCCATTCCAGAAAAGTGAACAACAAAGTCTGGCAAGAAAAGTTTTCTGATAAACTCGGTCGCGGGTGCGCACCCTAGGCAGAACTTAAAATGAGCACCCGATGAAACGAGGACTTGAGAAAATGGATAGACTTTGCATAAAGCTTAATAATTTTACTCACATTTGCACTCTGGGTATATGGTGAAAAAAAGGGGAACGATATAATCATCTCAATACGCACCACAACCGTGAAAACCCTGGGCACATCCATCTATGTTACCTCATTCGTGGAGAAGCAGTGTGTCTCCTACCAGCAGGTCCAAGAAGAATAGATCCCACGAAGCACCACCCCTCGAAGGCTATCAGGATACCCAATCCAAAGAACGAGTTATACCTCTTGCTGTCCCGTTAGATGCGCCTACGCAATGTACGGAAGCCCTTCTCGCAGTGTCTAAGTCTACCTCAAAAGTTCGGCAATAGGAACCAAGCGACATGTGTTTATTTTGCAGAAGAACACAAAAGTGCATATAGAATGAGAAGCACAAGTGCTGCGATTACTGCCACATGAGCTTTGGGCGTCCGTTTTGCTCCTGGGGTCCCGACATTCCGGCTCCATCCATATCCAACGAGGGTAAGCCTGGGAATGACTTTCCCGAGCTTGAAGCCCAGGGCGACACTGCGAACATCTTGCGACGCAAAGCACTTGTCTCGCTTCCGGCTTGGACGCACATCGATACAAAGACTGCAGATCCTAAGTGGATGGCGCTGGATACTGGAGACGGCGAGGGGAAGAATGAGCAGCTTCCGAAGTAGACTGCTGCTGTGGCTGCAATGGCTAGGGAGGATGGTTGGATTAAATGAGGCCGTGAGCAAATGCGTCTAGCATATGCAGATAGCCGACTGCTGCATAGCATTTTCTAATTGTGGAAAAGCATCTGTGAGCAGAGAACTCTGTGATAGGCGGCGAGTGGGTTTGATAGATGCGCTCTTCACTATCGAGTGTACTTTTGGGTCGCTGCTGCGATTAAATAGCAAATCATGGATCCGCAAAAAATCGGAACGATTCCTATCCGTCTGTATCGCAAAAAACCATCATATCTATCGGGGAGAGCACAGGTGGAGGAAGCTGGTATAAAAGTGGAGTGGCTGGTGCGACATGTGGTGGTTGGTGGGGCTGCAGAACTTTTGATTGGATGTAGGATCACTAGCGTTGCGTTTAGCTTGGCGATCCTTGCAGCCAACGAGCGCAGAGTATAGGCACTGGAATTTACCGCTTTTTCGGCCAGAACGCCTTTCCGAAGTGCGCGGGCAATAAATTGGCCAAAAAGGCGAAAAGAATGCAAAAAGATGGGACGATGTCGGCAGGATTCGAACTTTCGGCTTACGTAAGCTTTCTTCTTTCAAGCAAGAGGATTAGACATACCCTGCGCGGCCGAAGCCATATGATATCGAGTCACGTAATATTCGAGTCATACACATTAACCACTCTGTCACGACATCTGAGTGATGATTTCTGAAAATTTGCGAGCGTAAATAATATATATCCATTGCTTTCAATGGCCGGTTCATGAATGGGGTCGTACTAAAGCCCACCTTTTCAGGACTTGGGCTAACAAACACGAGTCATATGCTCACCCACATTTTTCACATCACATTATCAAACCACAACATATATAGACCCCGCTCTATTTTAAACAGTTCGGGAAGAGTTCGGTCGCGGAGACCTGCATGACTTATCGTCAAATCGGACGACTGGGGTCTGTGGGGCGGGATCTCCGCTAGTGGCGTCTTTATCCGGCCTGGCCATTGGTTTCATGCAGGTGCATGCTTCAACAGCTCCGTCCGAAGACGCACACCTTAGGAGACCGTTGACGTGAAAGCTGCCGCAAAGCGTTCTCTGGGGGCGGCCTTTCACCGCGAGCGTGCAACTTCAAATGTTTGCTCGCGCTCGCCGCGCCATGTAGACGGCCTCCGCACTCCTTCAGCTGCCAGCCCGGATACCATGGACACGATTGTAGTCGCGCCAAAGGCGGCGCCGCTGGCCTCGCCCAAGGTCGTTAAGAATGCTAAGGGCGCTCTTGTGCCGAGCAGCCAGATGGCACATATTGCCTACGGCTGTGGTGAGTGCGAATGAGGCGTGTGAGAATCCGCTCGGCTGACAGCTTTGCAGAGCACATGGGCGAGATGCTTGAGAACGCCCGCAAGCAGACCCTCCACAACTACCGCGCCATATTGCAAGATATACACGAGAAACCGAGCATAATAGCCCAGACGTACAAGAACCCGCCCGACGGCCGGCCCGTTGTCTCCCTCCGCCCACTATACCTCTGCCTACAATGCCCCAGCATCATGACGGAAGGGGATCGAGACGAGCATACTGATGTCAAGCGGCATGTATTCTGTGGGTAATTCTGGATACCCCTGGAAACACTAGCTGACGGGGTGTAGCTGTGGAATCACGAGATGGAAACGTGTATTGCGGGGATTGCAAGGACTTCATCTACGACACTGATCTGGAGGCAAGGAGGCTCCAAAAAGGTCGGTTGAGCATTTGCTGTCATGCTGATCAAGTGCTAAACCTTTACAGGCAAGAAGCGGAAATTCGAAGATCCGACGACCACTGACGAGGTCAAACTCATCATAAATAATTCCACCTTCCTCCCATGTCGTGCGATAGGCCTCCGCGGTCTTTACAACATGGGCCAGACTTGCTTCATGAGCGTCATACTCCAGACCCTAGTACACAACCCGTTCGTCCGGAACTTCTATCTGTCGGAAGGACACAAGACAAACGAATGCGACAAGGAGGCGTGTGTCAGCTGCGCGTTGGACGCAATGTTTGTCGAATTCCATTCCGTCGAGAAGACCGAGGGCTTTGGAGCGGTCGACATGCTCATGGGCAGCTGGCTTGCAGGCGAGGTGGGTGTTACTGTATTGGCATATTACAAGAGAACATAATGCGCTAACACGGGCGGCAAGGCTCTCGCAGGGTACCAGCAGCAAGATGCGCACGAATACATGCAGTTCATGCTCAACACGCTCCACCTGCAAAACGGCGGCTCGACCGACTCCGAACACTGCAAATGCGTGGTCCACCAGACCTTCTACGGGAAGCTCTCAAGTACCGTCACTTGCGATAGCTGTCGGAACACAACAACGGCGCTAGATCCGTACATGGATCTTAGTCTAGACGTGCGGAATCTGCCCAAGAAGCGGAAATTGGAAGGAGGTGGCAAAGATGAGGCACAATTAGACCTCCGGGATTGCTTGGAGAGATTTACGGGTCGGGAGAAACTTGGTGCGGCCGAATACACGTGCCAAAACTGCGACAGTGGGCAGAATGCTACGAAGCAGTTGAGCATCAAGCGGCTGCCCCCAGTTCTCCCAATTCACCTAAAGGTACTTCCTCGCCACCAAGCTCTCGAGCAATGAGACTAACATACCCAGCGCTTCGAACACACAAAAAACAACTCGTCGAAAATCGAAACCAAAATCTCCTTCCCGATGAAACTCGACATCTACCCCTACACTACCGCTTACCGCTCCACGCAACCCAAAGCCTCAAAAACAGGCACCGCACCACCAAACTCAAACCACAACGTCAACACCCCCGCAAACGCCCTTTTCTACGAGCTCTGCGGTGTCATCGTGCACAAGGGCAAGATCGACTCTGGACACTACGTCAGCTATTCAAGAGAGGGCAACGACTGGTTCGCGTTCGATGATAGCAAGGTTGTGCTGGTTAGTGAGGCGGAGGTGCTGGCTGCGGAAGCCTACTTGCTGTTTTATATGGTGAGCAGTTTGGAGGTATAAGGGCTTTTGGGGGCGCGGGGGGGGCGCTTTGTGAGCAGGAAGGTCATTCGGGGAAATTGGGCCGTGTATAATACCTCTGGAGTGAGGTTGAGACACAGGACATGTCTGGGCTGCATTCTTCGGCGTTTTCCCCAATACTACATACCACACTTGGGCTGCGAAAGGCAGCGGCATGGCGCTTTGGCGAAGGATGGGCAAGGTAGATGAGGTCGGGTTCTTGGGAATCGTTGTGGGTTGAATTCAATCTTTTGAAATGGTCTCTGGCATTGAAGCTGCCTGAGATCTTCTCGAACTTCGTGAATGTTTAAAAATAGGCATGACCGACTCCGGCTATCTTTCTTACCTACGGTAACACCGGTCGATAGACCACAAATTAGACCCAAGGAGATGCATCGAAGTAGAAAGCGTAGGCCGAGGACATCTTGAGCCGAGGACTTCGGAAAAGGTCTGTGCGCTGATGTAGCTGCTAGCACGAAGTCGATCGGCGCGATTGCACACCCTACACATAAGCATGAGATTATCCATGCGAGGGAGAGACGAGGTGTCTATTAAATGGTGCTCATGCGATGCCTCCGTATTTGAATCCCCATCTGGCGGTGCGGAGTATACGGTCGCTGCGGCGCGGAGCTGGTCCAGCGAGGGAGATGGCACGGCAAAGGCTCAGTAGGTAAATTCAGTGTTATGCATTCTAGCCCTGACTGATCTGTGCCAGATGCTGTAGCTATGGCATATGTGGGGGTATCTATTGTAGAAAGGGTCATGATATCTAAAAAGAAGCTAGGAAATCGGATCGAAGCACTGGCAATCCTGGATACTGCCACCTATCCGGCTCCCACTCAACAGAGATGGACATTTCCACGCGACTTCCATGTCGTTACACTGGAAGAGGAGATTCCAGATCCGCTCAATCATGTATCCGAATAACGGTGCGCTCATCGAATCCGGCCGACCTTGCAGATACCCCTCCTGATGCGCCCAGCTGTCCTTGTCCACGAATGCGTTGTGGAGGTCGCGATAGACGCTCTTATCCACACCGCGGATCCGCTTCGCAGAAACAATGAACTGGCCCTTGTAACTCAACAGCACGTTTTCACATTGTGTGGAGTTGTTGATGCGGTTGTGAATGTTCAGGAAGAGATGCTTTGTGTCCGAGAAACCAAACCGGTCTCCGCAATTCTCGCAGGAGCACACTTGTCCGGACCAGCCTAGGCTTAGCATACCAGTCAGTACGGGATGGAAGTAGTCCCGAATGCGAGGGTAGAACTCGCGCGGATTGTGGACATCGGCTTGGAGGAAGACGGTGTGTTTGGCGAGCGCGTCCCAGTTGTTGAGGATGTGGTAGAGGTATGTTTCGCCTTCTCGTCCGATATTTGGGATTGTTGTTATATTGTTGGCGCCTATACGCTCTTTTATATCTGTGGTGTTTGATTCGCTGTCTTTGATGTAAATGTGTACCTGAGACATTCGCAGATTGGGCGTTGCTTTCAACTTGGAGATGAGTTGCGCGACTTCGTCGACGGGTTCTTTGTACATGCTGACGACGATTTGGACGGCAGTTTTCGGTGTGTACTCACGATCCAGAGCCGGGTGTACTCTAACTGGTTTCAAGTATTTCCACTCCGAGAAATTGAGCATCAAATACGGGATCCAGATGGAAGCCAGGAGGATGGAGTATGGGGAGAAACGCTGGGAAATGCTTCTCCATCTCCTCGCTTCAGCTACTCGAGTAGCATCAGAACCGTCCGACAGGACAGTATTGTCACTTTCCATGGCGTTCAACTCCGTGGTACTAGACAGGGCTTCGTAAACCCTTCGCCAGGTCCAGGCTCTGAGAGCACCGCCGAAGCACAGTGTAACTAAGGAAAAGAACCCGATCTGAAAGAAGGACAAGTAGGAGCGACGGAGCGTCAGGGTTGATGCTAGTCCTATGGAACCGACCATGAGCCATGGAGTTGCAGTGTCGCTCCAGCCAAGGACGCCCGGGAAGTTGTCCGACTCACTGCTAACCTCGTCGATCGGGAATAGGATTGATTGACCCATGAGTATCGCTGCCGCTGTAGCCAGAGCGTTCACTGCGAGGAGCGGAACATTTCGTAGCTGAAGAGCGTCGAAGAACCCGGCCCATGTCTCATCCACGTGGTAGACTGCCCACGAGCCCGTTATGGCGAGCCCAGCACAGCACAGTAGTATGTTCATCCTCCCAGTATCAATCGTTGCGGACATGCGGTCAACAACAATGGACCGCAATGCTCGCGCAAACCCTGCGAGAAGTACCGCGGGAATGGAGGTCAGAAGGCCCTTGACGAGCAATCGATACTCGCAATATAGGATAGCGATGCACCCGAATACGGCGATGAAGATGCGAGCCATGTTCATTCGCGATCGAGGACTTTTGCTTCTCGCGAGAAGTATTGAGGCTTCGGTGCACCCAGACACAGCTGTTAACATGATCAGCGCGGGTAGATTCTGGTAATGCAGAATGGCTTGTCTATCAAGTTGAAGTCAGCAAGTATCTTGGGCACTTCCATGCGGTGACCGGGATAATATATGGTCTTCACCTCCAACCCATTGTATGTGCGGCATCCAAAGATTGAAAGAAAGAGCGCGCTAAATCATTAGGCAACACCTTCTCATTAGACTTACATTGAGAGGATTATCGACCCCGCTGTTATGAATGCTAAGGAGCC